AAAAAAAGGCCAAGATGGACTGATTGGAAGTATATTTTTGTCGATAATAAATCAAAACAACCACAATTGGTTGCTTTCTTATTCAATAAATCAAAGTGCCGGATTAAAATTCAAACAGTTAATCATTTTTCATCTCATTTTATATTGTAATAAGACAATGACTGTCGAGATTTCTTTACGCAACAAAACATTCACATTCTCTCTACTACTACTGTAGTGAACGGAGAACACAGGTGAGGGCAACCGAATTGTATTTTCGTTAAATACAATTCGGTTGCCCTCACCTGTGTTCTCCGTTCACTACAGTAGTAGTAGAGAGAATGTGAATGTTTTGTTGCGTAAAGAAATCTCGACAGTCATTGTCTTATTACAATATAAAATGAGATGAAAAAATGATTAACGTTTTGAATTTTAATCCGGCACTTTGATTTATTGAATAAGAAAGCAACCAATTGTGGTTGTTTTGATTTATTATCGACAAAAATATACTTCCAATCAGTCCATCTTGGCCTTTTTTTGTTTTGTTTTAACGGTTATCCATTTTCATTTTAATTTCACTTCATAGTTCATAATTGTTAATTTGACTATAAACAATAGACTTGGTCAGTCAGTCAGTTGCGATCTAGAACAACGTACGTATGTACATAAGTTCATGTTGCCATACCACATTAGCACAAAGACGCAAATGTCAAATCAAATCCTATAGTGATAAAGATAGAAGAAGTATTAATGGTAGACTAGGGTTTGAAGATATTATTCAAGAAGTATAATTCAATGAGATAAGGTTAGAAAAACAAAGGTAGAGGTGCTGACGAATCCAGAAGATTAGGATTTGAAAGAGCTCAACGAATGGATGCACTTGCGCCATTGCAAACGATTTGAGCCATGTCGTTCAAGGTCTCCTCTAACCATTTATGACTTTCATCTCGCGGACCCCAACCAGGTAGCCTACATCTACCAACATGACTCAGTCGACTTGTCAGTGAGTTCATGGATTTGTGCCATGTTTTGGTCTGGCCCGCCCTAGCTTTCTTCCAGCTTACTCCTACACCACAAAACATAGCTCGTCGAGGCAGTCAGTGGTTAACCATACGTAACACATGTCCCAACCATCTCAACTGATGAAGTTTCACCTCTACATCAATTGATCTGCCATCGTTACCAAGTACTCGTTTCCTAACGATAGCATTGCTTACTTGGTTGTCCCACGATATACGAGCAATTCTTCTTAATCATCTATCATGGAATGCTAGTAACCTACGAACGTCTACTGTTAACGGCTATGTTTCGATCCATGTAAGAGAATGGAGCGAACTGCTGCGCAGTACACCCGTCCTATCGTCAGCGAACGGATATCTCGCCTACGCCTTAAGTGACGCAGGTTGGCAAAAGCCAATTAAGCTTTATGTATCCGTGCTGAGATTTCGTCAGTCACCAGGCTATCAGCACTGATGAAACTACCCAGATAAGGGAAGCGATCAACACGCTCGACTACTTCACTCCCTATCACTAGTTCAGGTGTCGATGCAACCCAGTCTTGGTACAAGAGTTACGTCTGGTTGATTGATGAACGCTTCGAAAATTACAAGTAAAAATAGGCGAGTTGTTGTAGCCTTGTAGTTTGGAGTCTAGGATTGTGCTAAATGCGTGAATCTCTCTCTATGTAGAGAAAGCTGAGGTTTCACGGTCCGAGTAAAATCTGTATCACATTTATTCGAGTTAGAAGAAACAAATGGCTATGCTATTCCACAAGTAGTTGCAAGAAATATTTAGTACTTACTTACTTACTTAGTTACGCCTGTTACCCACAATGGAGCATAGGCCACCCACCAATTTTCTCCAACCAACTCTGTTCTGGGCTTCCCTCTCCAGTTCTGTCCAATGTTTGTTCATTCCTCTCATATCTTTCTCTATTTCTCTGTGTAATGTATTCTTTGGCCTTCCTCTTTTCCTTTTGCCTTGAGGTTTCCATGTGAGGGCTTGTCTCGTGACGCAGTTAGGTGCTTTTCGTTGTGTGTCCTATCCACTTCCACCACTTCTTCCTGATTTCCTCATCCACTGGAATCTGGTTTGTTCTCTCCCACAGTTCGTTGTTGCTGATGGTGTCTGGCCAACGAATACGAAGTATTTTGCGTAGACAGCTGTTAATAAACACTTGTATCTTGTGGATGATGGCTTTGGTAGTTCTCCATGTTTCCGCTCCATACAATAAAACTGTCTTCACATTTGTATTGAAAATCCTTATTTTGGTTTTGGTTGAAAGTTGTTTGAATTTGCAGATATTTTTCAACTGTAGAAATGCAGTCCTTGCTTTGCCAATCCGCACCCTCACATCTGCATCGGATCCACCTTGATTGTCGATGATGCTGCCCAGATATGTAAAGGTGTTGACGTCCTCCAAGGCATCTCCATCAAGAGTGATTTGATTGGTGCATGTTGTGTTGCATCGGAGAATTTTGCTTTTTCCTTTATGTATGTTGAGACCTACTGCTGCAGAGCCTCCTGCTACACTCGTCGTCTTCTCTTGCATTTGTTGTTGAGTGTGCGATAGAAGAGCCAAGTCATCTGCGAAGTCCAGATCGTCCAGCTGCGTCCTGACTGTCCAGTTGATACCGTGCTTCCCTCCAGATGTTGACGTTTTCATAATCCAGTCGATGACCAGGAGAAAGAGAAAGGGTGAGAGTAAGCAACCTTGCCTGACACCGGTCTTCACCTCGAAAGAGTCGGTTAGCTGTCCTCCGTGCACGATTTTGCAGTTGAATCCATCATAAGAATTCCGTATGATGTTAACTATTTTCTCAGGCACACCGTAGTGTCGAAGAAGACTCCACAGTGTTTTCCTGTCCACGCTATCAAATGCTTTCTCATAGTCGATGAAGTTGATTCACAGTGGTTAGTTCCATTCTATTGATTGTTCCACAATGATCCGTAATGTAGCAATTTGGTCAGTACACGATCGATCCTTACGAAATCCGGCCTGTTGATCTCGAAGTTGGGCGTCTACGAAGTCCTTCATTCTGTTTAACAATACCCTGTTGAAGACTTTGCCTGGTATTGAAAGAAGAGTGATGCCTGTGTAGTTCTCACACTTGCTCAGATCGCCTTTCTGTGGTATTTTGATGAGGTATCCTTCTTTCCAATCTGATGGTGCTTGTTCCTCATCCCAAATCTTCTTGAAGAGGATGTGAAATATTTTCGCGGTTGCTTCTACATCTGCTTTCATTGCCTCTGCTGGAATGTTGTCTGGTCCTGCTGCTTTGCCGTTCTTGATTTGTCTGATGGCCATACTGATCTCCTCAATCGTAGGTGCTCCAATATTAATTGGGAGATCCGTGGATGCTGCTTCGATGTTGGGTGTGTTCAGTGGAGCTGGTCGATTCAATAGTTCCTTAAAGTGCTCTACCCACCTATTTCGCTGTTCGTCAGTATTGCTGATTACTTTGCCTTCCTTGCTTTTCACTGGTCGTTCTGGTTTACGATAGTTTCCGGCGAGCTTCTTTGTAGTTTCATACAATTGTCTCAAGTTTCCTTCTCTTCCAGCCTTTTCCGCCAACATTGCTAGATCTTCCACATATTTTCGTTTGTCAGCTCTGATGCTCTTCTTCACTTCCCTGATTGCTTCTGTGTATTCAGCTTGTGCGGTAACTTTCTCTGCTCTTGTTCGGCTGACGTTGATTGCTGCCTTCTTGTTCCTCCTTTCTTCAATGTTTGCAAGAGTATCAACAGAGATCCATTCCTTATGATGGTACTTCTTTTGACCCAGAACTTCGTCACATGTTGAAGTGATTGCCTCCTTAATCCCTTTCCAATTGTTCTCCAATGTTGCGTCCTCTCCATTGTGTAGATCCTGAAAGGCCTGGAACCTATTGGTGAGGGCTATCCTGAATTCTTTGAGCTTTACATTATCCCGAAGAAAGGCCGTATTAAACTTGTGTGATGTTGTCTGTCCCGTTGTCCAGTGCTTCTTTAGTTTCAGTTTCATTCTGGCGATCAGCAAATGGTGATCTGAGGCTATATCAGCTCCTCTCCTGGTTCTCACATCCTCCATAGTCCTTCTGAACGTTTTGTTGATACAGATATGATCAATTTGATTTCTAGTAGTGTGGTCAGGGTGAAATCCATGTGGCTATGTGTATGCGTTTGTGAGGGAATATTGTGCCACTGATGACCAGTTTGTTGAAGGCACATAGGTTTGCAAATCTCTCACCGTTTTCGTTCCTTTCTCCCAGTCCATGTCGTCCCATGATGTCTTCATATCCAGTGTTGTCCATTCCAACCTTGGCATTCAGGTCTCCCATAAGAATCGTCAAATCCTTTGGTGAACATTTCTCGACGATTGACTGCAGCCTTTCGTAGAATTGATCTTTATCATCGTCATTGTAGTCGTTGGTAGGTGCATAACATTGGATGACGTTCATTGTAATGTCCGCTTTCTTTGTTTTGAAAGATGCTTTGATGATCCTGGGTCCATGAGATTCCCATCTTATTAGCGTCTTTTGTGCATGTTTGGACAGCATCAGTGCAACTCCTTGTGTGTGTGTGAAGCATTTTTCTCTTCATGACCAGAGTATAACAGCAGTTCCCTTGAAGCTAGTCTCAGTTGTCTTACTTGTGTCCAATGTGTTTCACTGATTCCAAGCAAATCGAGGTTGTATCTTTTCATTTCTGCAGCAACTTGAAATAGTCTTCCAGTCTGCCACAATGTACGAACGTTCCATGTACCTAAAAAAATGGTTGCTCTGGTTGTCAGAAGAGGCATCAGCCCCGTGACTTCCGAGGGAACTCGGCTCTCATCACGAGACGTCATAATTCTTCCTCCAACTCCCAGGGTAGAGTTAAAATGGTTTAAATTATTTTTTCTGGTTAGCGTTTTTTTGGCAAGTTAGTTTTTGACGGAATGGGGTCGCCAACCCCATGTCCAACCCTCGGCATTTACCCGGGCTTGGGACCGACAGTAGTCCCGAAGGTTCTACTGGCGGAGTTATGATTTCTTTTACAAAATGTTGAATTCTTCTTTTTCTTTTCTTCAGACAAACAATCGTTTGAAGAAATTCAAATCAAAATATTCAAATGCTGAAGAAAATTTTCAAACCATACAATTGATCGATGATCAATTATATGAGCAAGCGAATTTGACAAAATCCGAATTGATTGATTTGTTAAAACAAATTGATTATTCAACTAGTAATAATAATAATGTCACTGATGCTTGTTCTTTAACTGATGAACAATTGAATAAACTATTAGATAGGTAATTTCTATTTGATTTGATAGTTTTATTGGACATTTTGTAATAAGTTTAAGTTTTATGTGTAGTTCCAGGATTACATCTTACCTATAATATCATGTAAATTGAATATTTAAATCACTATTATAGATCCAAACAACTCTATACTGTTAAATACTTGATTACATTAAGAACTTCTATTATTGGCAGTTCATTGATTGTTATCTTTACTGTTTGAAATAATTGTTCTCATTTCTATGATCAAAATATGCTAAACATCAGATGCGTGGCCGTAGATGTATGTTATTTATAAAGTTCTAGCACTGTAATCTGTTTACAAACATAAGAGTTCTATTCGAATGAACTGAATACTGTTTAAGAATGAAATGATGTTGATAGTATGCTGATAGTGTCCAAAAAAGTGATTCATATATATGTATATTACCATTTTGATCTGTTAATCAATCACTTAGAAATTCCTGGTTCTCATATTTCAGGTCATTTTGTTACTACACAGTTGATATTGAACCAAGTATTTGTTTTTTTGTCCCAAGTTTAAGTGTATTTAACATTCTATTTTCATTATTGAATAATAATAATAATTGTTTGTGGAGAGGGACAATTTTTATCTATTGATTCCTATACATTTTAATATGATAGTGAATACTAGGTAAAGTAATATTTATTCATTGGTCATTTGTATTTTCAAAATCAATCCATTTGGTGTACAAGTATGAATAACAGAGCAACTGATTGATTTTCCACTCTCTGGTTTGTGACAAATCAGTTATGTTCATCTATGACCACATTATATAGTAAACTGAGAAATTGTAGCTCTTAAAGTGAGCATTTAATCAGTGCATCTATCATAATTCAAGAGGTAATCCGAACTTCAATCAAATTTTGGTTTAGCCTGACGATCGATCACCTCATAAGCGTTTCACTCCTAATATGAGATTATTGCCTACAAATTAGGCTTATTTCTACAA